TGTAACTTGGTATGACACTCACAGAGAGTCTGGGGGGTCAAATCACGTCAACCAGCATTTATTAAGTGATTACAATATACCAAGCACTGTGCTAAGAACTGAGGATACAAAGAAAGGCCAAAACAGCCCCTGTTCTTAAGGAGCTCACATTCTAATGGGGGAGGCAATGTGAAAAGACTATGTACATAGAGGATAAATTGGAGAGACTTTCCAAGGAAAGACACAAGGAGTGGAGCAAACAGGAAAGGCCTTTTGCAAAAGGTAGGGATTGAAGTAAACAAAGGAGAGGGTTGCATTCAGGGCGGACAGCCAGTAAAAAGTCATGACGTTGAGAGATGTAGTGTCATGGGGGAAGAACACGAAAAAGTCCAGTATGTCTGGATCATAGAGTAAGTAGCAGGAGGGAAGTGCAAAAAAAAAAAAGTGGACGAGTAAGAATGCATCAGGATGTGGAGATCTTTAAAAGCCGAAAGGGATTTATTGGCTCTTAGAGCAAACATTATAGGTAGAGCAAACACTAGAGGTAAAAGGGGGAACCATCGTTTATTGAGTAGAGTGGTATGGTCAGACTGGTACTTTAAGAAGATCACTTTAGTAGCTCAGGAAAGCATGGATTGCATGGTGGAGATACTTGAGGCAGGGAAACTAACCAAAAAGCTATTGCAATAATCTAGGTGTTAAGTGATGAGGGCTTTCAGAGTGGTGCCTACGTCAGAGAGAAGGAGGCATATTCAAGAGATGTTAACTTTGAAACAGATTGAGCGTAGAGTAGAAGAGAATTAGGAGTCAAGGATGATACCTAGGTTGCAAGCCTGATAGCCTGGAAAATGGTAGTTCTGCCATAGTATCAGGGAGGCTGAGAAGAAAAGATTTAGGAGGAAAGATGATAAGTTCAGTCTTAATATAAGATCTAAAGGATATCCAGTTCAAGATGTCCGATAGGCACTTAGAGATGTTTATCTGAAGGTCAGGAGAGAAGTCAGTCTAGGTAAATAACTTCTAGAGGCAGCTAGATAATACAGTAGATAGAGCACTGGGCCTGGCGTCAGGAATATCTGAGTTCAAATCCAGCCTCAGGCACTTAACTATCTATGTGATCCTTGGCACGCCATTTAATCTCTGTTTGCCTCAGTTTCGTCATCTATAAAATGGAGATCATAACATCACCTACCTCCCAAGGTTGTTCTGAGAATCAAACGAGATAATATTTGTAAAGTGCTTACCATAATGCCTAGCACAGAGTAGGCACCATATAAATTAATCAATAATAATAAATACGAGAATTATATGCAGAGATGATAATTGAATCCAAGGAGAAGAGAAGAAGGTCCAGGATGGATCCTGGGGGATACTCATGGTTGGTACAAGCTAGATCCACAGCCAACCAAGACCAATAAGGAGTAGCCAGAGAAGTAGGAACAGAACCAAGGGAGAGCGGGATTATGAAAACCTTGAGAGAAAAAAATATCAAGGAGTAAAGGGTGATCAACAATGTGAAAGGTTGTAAAAAAGTCGATAAGAATGAGGAGTAAAAAAGAACCATCAGATTTGACAATTAGATTAATGGAATGTAGAAGAAAGATGGAGAAGCTATATCAATCAAACTACCAAATGATTACTTCATAAAACCAAGAAAAAATTATTCCAAATTTCATCTGGAGGAAGAAAACATTAAGAATATCAAGGAAATTAATGAAAAGTTTTGAGGGAAGGGAGCATAATAGTACTAGATCTCAAACTTGTCTACAGAGCCATAATCATCAAAACCAAATTGGCACTGAGTAAGAAATAGAGGGATTGATCAGTGGAACAGATTAGATTCAAGGTATGCAAAAGTAAATGTGTATAGCAGCCTAGTATTTAATAAACCCAAAGATCCCAACTATGGGGGCAAAAACTCATTAGTTGACAAAAACTGTTGGGAAAATTGGAAAATATCTTGTGCTTTTAACCAAGATAAGTTCCAAATGGGTACATGATTGAAACATAAAGAATGACATAACATATTACAGGAACATCAGAAGTATCAGCTCTATGGATAGGGGAGGCATTTATTGCCAAATAAGATACAGAGAGGCTCACAAGAAGTAAAATGGACAGTTTTGATTACATACATTTAAAAAGTTTGTATACAAGCAAAACCAACTCAGTGAAAATTATAAGAGAAATAAGAAAATGGGAAAAATCTTCACAGCAAGTTTCTCTGATAAAGGTCTCATTTCTCATATATATTATATATGTGTGTGTGTATGTGCATGTGTGTATACATATAAGTGTGTATACATGTATGTGTATGTGCATATGTGAAATATATATATATGAAATTGATTCAAATTTTTAAGAATAAGAGCCATGCTCCAATTATGGTCATGAAAAAATGTTCTAAGTCACTAAGAGAAAATTTAAATTAAAACAACTGTTAAGTTGCCACCTTATTCTCATCAGATTGGCATAGTAGCAAAGTGAACAATAAAAAAAGAAGGAAATGACATTGTAGAGGGACTGTGGGGGAGCAAAAAGGCAAATTAATGCACTGTTGATAGAACTGTGAACTGGTCCAGCCATTCTGGAAAGCATACGGAACTATGCCCAAAAAGCTTTTAAACTGTGTGTGTCATTTGACCTAGGAATACTGCTACTAGGTCTGTATTCCAAAGAGATCAAAGGAAGAAGAAAATAACCCACATGCGCAAAAATATTTATGGCATCTCTTGGTAGATAAGAATTAGAAACTGAAGAATAGCTGAACATGCTATGGCATATGAATGTCACAGAATGTTATATGCTGTTTCAAAAAAGTGATGAAAGGCACAGTTTCAGAGAAACCTGGGAAGACTTGCATGAACTGATGTGAATCTAAGTGAGCAGAACCAGGAGAAAAATATGTATGCAATAACAACAATACTGTAAAGACTTAGGCACTCTGATCAACACAATGATCAATCACAATTCCAGGTGACTTATGATGAAGCATGTCACCCTCCTGTAGATAGAGAGGTGATAGACTCAGAGTGAAGAATGAGATATATGTATGTGTTTATATTTATATTTATATACACACACAGCCAGTTCAATAATTTGTTTTGCTTGATTATACATATTTGGTTTTTTTTTCTTGCTTTCTTTATGTGGGGGTAGGGGAAGTGAGGAGAGAGAGAACATGTACTAAGGTAAAATAAAATTGACATTTAAAAAAAACTTTTAAATAAGTTTTAAAATGAGATCATTGGTACCTTTGGAAAGAGTAATTTCAGTTGAATGATGAAACTGGAAGCCAGAATGTAGAGAATCAAGATAGTGAAAGGAAAATACATTGAAGCTCTTGTAAATGGCTTTCTCAAGAAGATTAACTACAAAAGGGAGATGAGATATAGGATAATAGCTAGCAGCTGCTCAGATCAAATGAGAGGTGGTGTTGTTATTTGGATGATGGAGACATAAGCGTGTTTGTAGGCAGTAGCAAGCATCCTGTAGACAGAAAGAAATTGGGGATAAGTAAGAAAATGGAAGAGAATGCTAGAGAAACAGTATAGAATAAGATCAAGGGTATATGCTGCCTTTATATGGAGAAAGACTTCTTCATGTGAGACAGGTGAAGGAAGAGATACAGGAAACAGGCAACTATGAAATGAGAAGAGGGGAAAGAAGAGGAAGCTTCCTACAAACAGCCTCATTTTTTTCAATGCTGTAAGAGGCAAGGTTCTTATCTAAGCAGATTGAAGGAGGGCAACTATGAGAGGCCTAAGGAGGAATAAAAAGAAAAGTTTAGAAAAGCCACTGAGGTAAGTGAAATAGTTAATTGATTAAGGAGGTTAAGTGGGTTGCTTTGCTGCAATGAGAGCCCAGTTGAGACTATGTACCAAATCTGCAGTAGACCCCGGTCAGCACTATTTCACAATTCTCTCCAGCTCTATTTAGCAATGAGTGAATATATGTGAGGGTAGCAGATGGTGGGAGCAGTCCAAAGTTGGGATTTGGCAAGGCATAATCAGTGATAGATAAGATGGGAAAGAGATTTGAGTGTTGAGGAAAGAGTAAAGTTAAATTGGTTCACCAAGAGGTGAAGATGAGGAAGGAAGAGAATGTAGCCAGTGGAGGGAAAAGAACTGAATGGCTGAGGAAGTATAGGTCACAATGAGGATAAAAATCGGAGTTTGGGATTATAAAGCAGAGGGAAAGATAATGATAAAATATTATGATCAGATGAAGGCATTTTGAAGTGTATGTGCATGAGAGGAATACATGTGGTTGATGGCAAAAATCAATGGTATGATCATCTCTGTATTTAGCTGAGGTGGATTGGAGGGGTAAGTCATAGAAAATGAGGAAATTAAAGAACTGGGGCATTTGAGAAAGGTTGAGAGAGTGTGTCTATGTACATTGAAGTACCCTAGTATGAGGACAGGAGTTGGGATGGAGAAAAAGTGCTTGAGTCAAGCACTGAGGTCATTGAGGAAGGAAGAAGAATGTCCTTAGGTCAGTAGATGACAGTTGCCAGAATCTTGACTGGGTATAAATGTAAATCGAATGATTCTCAGTAGAGGACAGCTTCCTAAGTGGTAAAGGGAGAATCTGGAAGTGACAACAGCGATTGAGGTATATTCAACCCCACTACTGGGATCAATGAATATAAATGAAAGTGTAAGCTGTATTAGAAATAGCAGCCAGGGATTCCTTGTCATTAGGAGACAGGCAGGTTTCAGTGACTGCCAAAATTACAGCCTTGCAAAATCAAGACAAGGAAGCAGAACTCAGCAATTCAAAATGGATATAATTCAAGAACCACTTCTGAAGCACTGGAGAAGGTCCTAGGTTCAAAGACAGTGAGCAGAGCTTGAAGAGTAGCTTGGATTGGGACCAACATAGGGGTTCCATGGGAAAGCTCAGGAGCGAGGAAGCCTCAGGAAACAGTGGCTGGAATCAGTCAGCATAACATAAGGGTCTATTATGGGAGGAGTCCAGCTTGATCATAAGAAGATGAATTAATTTTCTTGTTTCAGATATGGAAAAAGTGCTCCATGACGAAGATCATTCCATCAAGCAGATGGCTAATTTTACCTACGTATTATTTAGGAAAATAGCCAAAGAAATTCAAGACCCTAACCTTAAACAACATTTCCGAAGATTATGCAGTTTCTTCCAGTTCAAAGACATATCACTTCTTTATGGTTATAGAGGTAGAGAAGCTATTAACTCTTTTCATGAGCCTGATGAATATGCAATAATACATAGGGGAAGAGCGTATATAGAAAGTGGCGAGAACATATCAGAACATTCCAGTGCCAAAACTTGATAAGGACTTCCTGTCCACAAGACAAAGTCTGGTTGAGGGCCTATTTGTTTAAATTGATGTTGGAAGGCTTTGCCACGCTTCATTTGTCTGTATCCAAGTATACAATTTAGGGAAAATCCATTGTGCATCAGTGTTTAATGCAATGGCTAGAAGCTCTATTTTTACCAGATGTACCAATAAAAAGAAAACAGATGATGGTCATAACTATTTTGGATGAGGCCCTAACTCTAACTTTCATAAATGACACAGGTTTCATCCCTGTAGTATGAATGCCTACCATTTGAAATCCCAGATGCATAAAATAAGAGATGTATTAAAATGTCCAATGTATTTACTATTGTTTCCATGATGCATAAATGCATTATTTTCATTCCCACCTCAACTGCTGCCTTGTCTCCTATCCAAAGCCTACGTAGTTTATAAGACCCTAACTCAGGTCTCCACGTACTTCAGCTCACACTGATACTTCTGATCTCTGAGCTTCTACTGCTTTATAGCTAATACCACACACACGGTTAGCATTTCATCCTCCAACAGTAGTTTCAAGTCTTTCCTTTCCTCAAGTTTATAAACTTTCTGAGAGCAGGTTCCATTCCTTAAGTGTCTTCTATATAAGGCTTCCCAAAAGTCTTAATGTGATTTTAAGCTTCAAACCTAAAGTTTGTTGGTCAACCTCTTTTTGATGAGCTTTTCTAGAGTGAAGGCAACTGATCCTCAGATCAAAAATGATATACCAAAAAGTGATGCACCCAGCCTATAACCAGATCTTTACATCAAACATTTCCTGTATCGCATTCACTCTAGAGCAGATCTTCTAACACCCACTGGAACAAGCCGGTGGCAGGGGCAGGGGCGGGAGCTCCAGAGTTCAGGTGGCTAATTGTCATTTTAGAGTTCTTTGAGTAGCCCTGAGGGTTAGGGTTTTTTTTTGTTTTGTTTTGTTTTTCCCCTAATGCTATAGCTCAAAAGTCCCTAAAAGTATATTTCCCTCCATGATTATCAGTTGATGTCAGTCAGGTAATTCACTTTTTAAAAACAGGCATTTACTATGGTGTATAATTGGCACAAAATACTCTCTACCCAATCTCTGCACCACCACGCCCCAAAAAAAGTCTGTGACACTTTTCCACAAATACATACAGAGTCCAGGGGAAAGTGAGCTGAAGCTTAGAGCAGATGTGGCCATCACAGACTCTAATTACTGGAAGTCCTTTTCTTCTCTTGGGGGTGGGTACTTATGAAGTTCATTGTATGGTTAGCATTTCTATTGGATTCCTTGAAGAACTTTTAATCTATCTTGACTCATTGCATCCAGTCTGCCCTGAGCTCCCAATGCAGACATTGCCATCATGGTAATGCTGCAAGGATACAGATTTTTAAAAATTTAAATCATATGGTGATACAAGATTCACAAGTCTTTGTCTGGTCAAGGAAAGAGGAATGGGGGAGTTGGTGAAAGAAACCAAGGCCAAGGCCAAGGACTTTCTCCTGTGACCCAAGAAATTCCTTCTCAGGAGCTTGGCTAGAGGCTTCCATCACTACTCTAATTGGCTCTCAGTTTTGTTTTGTTTTTGTTTTTGTTTTTTCATTCTAAACCAGTTTCCTTGATTTATATGTGTCCCACAGAATGTGACCAAGTCTTTCAACCAATGAAGAGAAATGGGTCTTCAAACCTAGTTGAAATGACTAGCTTGTGTTGTTCAGGCCTTTTTCATACTTAGATCACTCCTCTAATTGATTGAATCCATTGAGATCTGTTCTGACCTCTGAGGCAGCTAGGTGGCTCAGTGGATTGAATGCTGGGCCTGGAATTAGGATGACCTTAGTTCAGTCTTAGACAGTTTCGTGACCCTGGGCAAGTCTCTTAACCTGTTTGCTTCAGTTTCTTCAACTATAAAATGAAGATGTTAATAGCACCTACCTCCTAGTGTTATTATAAGGATCAAATGAGATAATATTTGTAAAAAAAAAAAAAAGAAAGAAAAGAAAAAAGCACTTAACGTAGTTGCTGGCACATAGCAGGTATTATATAAATACTTATTTCCTTCTCTTCCCCCTTCTGATCTGACAGAGGCATCAAGGCTAGAGTGTTTTGTCAGTTACTATACATGGGGTTGGGTGACCTTACTGATCAACTCAATTAGCCCCAACAATTACACCCACTTGGGAAAATCTGCCATAACTTGCATTCTTCTGAAGTCCATTGAGGGCTCACCTCCACACCACAGTGAAGCAGGGAAGGAGGATTTTAGAGAAGGAAAGGGCTAGAATATGAAAGGTTTTGCAAGTCAAATAGAGGAGCATGAACTTGATGCAGCAGGGAAAAGTAAACTAAGTCATAGGGAATTCCTTCTACCTCCTCCCTCAAGAGGAGAGGGGAAAGGAATAAGGAATAGTCATGGTCTCCAGTTCCCCCACACCCCCTTGACACAGAGTAGAAGAAATGAGTAATGTGATTTAAAAGAAATTCCCACTCATCTTACCCTACCCAAAATATCATCATTAAACTGCCTGAAAATCTACCAATTAAACAATTCATTGGGGTCAATAAACAACCACCTCAAAGAAGGTTAGTAAGAGGGGGTAGAACAGCTTGCATTTTAAAATGGATTAATTTAATCTGATTGTTTCCCTCTTTACATCTTACTGAAATCTTGAACACTAAGGCAATGGGAATTTTGATGGAGGTGGGGAGTACAAGAAGTAACTTTGGGCCAGGAGAACTTGTAGGAAAGCAGATCTGGGTCTGTATTATAAATGAAAACTTGGGGACCCAGAAGACAGCCTAGAAGGTATTGGTCTCCTAGAGAACAGGAGCTATGATTATTATTACTCAGCTGCCAAAATGATTTCCCTAAAGTGCGTATTTAACCATCTTGCCTCCCCTACTCAATAAACTCCAGTGGTTCCCTATTGTGTCCAGGATCAAAAATAAAATCCTGTTTGACTTTTAAAGCCCTTCACAACCTGGTGCCTTCCTACATATCCAGATCAAATGACATAACATGCCTCATGCTTTGAAAAATTAAAGTACTATACAAATTCTAGCTGCTAGTGTTCATAATTATTACCATCATTATTATCTTGTCACACTTTACTCCCTTCCTTATATGTTCTCTACAGTTCAGCAACTTTTGCCTTCTGGATGTTCCTCACACAGCACATTCCATCTCCGGACTCCCACACATGGAATGCTATTTCTCTTCACTTATGGTTCCTGGCTACCTTGACTTTTTTTGAGACTGATCAGATCCCACATTCTGCAAGAAGTCTTTCCTGGCCTACTCTCCACTCACCTCCTCCACTGCTAGTATTTTCCATCTGTAATTACCTTCCATTTGCCCTCTGTATAGCTTGTTAGGTACAACTTTTTGCATGCTGTCCATCCAATTATAATATAACTTCCTTGAGGGGAGGGAATATGGGACCTCATTTCTGCCTTTCTCTGTAACTCCAGTGCTGAGTCCAAGGCGTGACACGTAGTAGGTACTTAATTTTTAAAAAATACTCTTTGAATGATAGAAAAGAGATTGCTGGCTTGGGAGTCAGAAAGCGTCAGCTCATATCCCAGCTCTGAGGCTTCCTACAAGTGTGCGTATTGCAAATAGGCAAGTCACTCAACCTTTCTAGCCTCAGTTCCTTATCGGTAATTCTAAAGATAGAATGTAATGTGAAATTTCATTTTATGTAGTGAGAGAAGTTTTAAGGAAATCCATTTGAAGGACTAAAAGGTGACTCTCTACATCTTGCTGGATGTTTCCCTTTTGGGTGATTTGTGGTTGGCCCAATCCAGAGGGATGGAGAAGAGGAAGAGCGATACAGAACTTCAGCAACAGCCCCACAAACTTCTGTCCATTCTGGGACTGCAATAAGTGAATATTTAAGCAGAGCAAATGTTAATATCGTCTGTAAGGGGCTGGTGCACGGTGCCTTGCAGACAGAGCTGTGTGAGAAGAGACCAGGTAAAATGAGAATGGTGTAAGAATGTGGTCAGTCTTCTGGGTCTCCTGAGTATTTTCCCCTTTTGGATTTGCATCTGTATGCGTGGCCATACACTAGTCACCTGGGAGACCACAGGAACATCAGCAGTCTGCATCCCTTGAGCTATCTACTTGGTTAGGTTTGGGGATGTTGGATTGTTCCAGATTGCAGACATTGATCAGACCACTGGGGAACAGAGAAATGATGGACTGTGGGTTAGCCTATGGCTGAGTTATCTAACCACAGACTAAGCTTATCTACTAATCCCTGGGTACCACAGTTTATACTATATGAGCAAAGGTCTGGTGTGTCCTCTGGGGAGCTAGGTGGTGCTTTGTAGGGTGCTGGGTCTGGCATCAGAAAGGCTCATCTTTATGAATTCAAGTCCAGACTCCAACACTGTGTGCTCCTGGGCAAGTCACTTAATCCTGTTTTCCTCAGTTTCCTCATCTATAAAATTAGCTAGAAAAGGAAATGGAAAACCACTCCAATGTCTTTGCCAAGAAAACCCCAAATCTTTGATTCTACCCAGAACTGTACAAAAAGCAAGGAGAACATTCCTGAGAATTCTAAGTCAACTCTTTCAATTAGTATGAGCTCTCTGCATACCTAATACAGTTCAATTCAACAAGTATGTATCAAGATCAAGGAAAAACCAGTTGGAGTATTATTAGCTGGAGCAAGATACCACTGAAATATAGAGGGCATTGGCAGCACTTGTATTCCACAGGTAGAAATCATTGTGCTTAGTATCTATTCATTGAAAATGATTCATTAAAATAACAGGACATTATATTTCCTCCTTCAAGCAACCATACCCTATGTGACCCCTTCCCCAGCATGATTTCACCATGTTCTCTCCTAACCTCTCCCTGACACCATCCCAACACACTCCCTCAATGAATTTCTTTTTTGAAGATTTTATCTGCTATGAGTGCTCTTTTCCTGAGGCTTTCCCTGGGGTTCATTATGTGCTTCTTGCCCTGGGGGCCAGATTCCCTAGTTCAAGCTCTGAAAGAAGGCTGGACACATCAGAACTCTGGAAAAAACTTTTAGCATTAAATCATTTTTCAATTCAACAAACATTTACTTCTTAAGTAAATTTCCTCTTTATTATGAATATAAATATCAATAAGCACAAACATGTTAACATGCAAAGAATAATTTTTTAAAGGTCACTGCATATGAAACCAATTTCTGTTATATTTTCCCACTAAGTACATCTTAAAAAAAATATTTTTGGTAGAATTGAAATTGAACATGCTAGTTCCAACGCAGCCCTGCTTGTCTGTGTCTCCTGCTCTCTGTTTCTTTTAAAAATAATTCACAGAATTCACTGATATTCTTTTCTTTCATTTCATAGTACCATTTTCATTATACTTCCCCTTTGT